AGTGGAGGCAGTGGAGGGATTGGCATGGGGGGGTGGAGGACACTGAGTGGAGGCCAATGGAGGGATTGGCAGAGGGGGGTGGAGGACACTGAGTGGAGGCCAATGGAGGGATTGGCAGTGGGGGTGGTGGAAATGGAGCGGTTGGAACGGTGAATGAGTCTGGCAGCCGTATTCAGGATGGACTGAAGCGGGGATAGCCTGTGGCGAGGCAGGCCAGTGAGGAGGGAGTTGCAGTAGTCGAGTCGTGATATGATGAGGGAGTAGATGAGCTGTTTAGTGGTTTCTGGGGTTAGGAACGTGAGTATTTTGGCAAAGTTGCGGAGGCGGAGTCTGCATGTTTGCGGAGGCGGAGTCTGCACGAGTTTGTTAAAGATTGGACTTGGGGCTGGAAGGATATAGGTTGGAGTCCAGAATGACACCAAGTACTCTGGCCTGTGGGGAGAGGGTTTGATGGTGGCGTTGGTGGATGTGATGGAGAAGTCAATGGGGGGTGGTGTCTGGGCTGGGGGGAAGACAAGAAACTCGGTTTTGGAGAGGTTCAGTTTAAGGAAGTGGAAGCGACATCCAGTTTGATATGTCGCTCAGTAGGTGTGTGATTTGGGCAGAGACCGAGGGGGTGAGGTGGGGGGTTGAGAAATAGATTTGTGTGTCGTTGGCATAGAGGTGGTAGTTGAAGTCCGTGAGAGTGTATGAGTTGGCCAAGGGAGGAGGTGTAGATTGAGAAGAGAAGGGACCCGAGGACAGAGCCTTGAGGGACCGGAACAGAGATGCGGGGGGAGGTGGTAGCATTAGAGGGGTAACGCTGAAGGAGCGTTGTGATAGGTAGGATGAGAGCCAGGAGAGAGCAGATATCTCTGAGGCTGAGGGAGTGTAGTTTTTTGAGGAGGAGGGGGTGGTGGACTGTGTCGATAGGCCACAGAGAGGTCAAGGAGTAGGAGCATAGTGAGTAGTGGCCATTAGCTTTGGCAGTTAGCAGGTCGTTGGAGAGTTTAAGTAAGGCGGTTTCGGTGGAGTGTAGGGGAAAGTGAAGCCGGACTGTAGGGGGTTGAGGAGGTTGTTGTCGTTAAGCTGAGAGCTTAGGCGGGGTGTAGACTAGGCGCTCAAGGAGTTTGGATGTCCGGGAACAGGGAGATATAGGTGCGGGGTTGTTCGGAGATCGGATATAGTGAATGCAGGGTCCGGGGAGAGCGGATATAGTGAATGCAGAATCCGGGGAGAGCGGATATAGTGAATGCGGGGTCCGGGGAGAGCGGATATAGTGAATGCGGGGTCCGGGGACAGCGTACATAGGGTGAATGAGGGGTCCGGGGAGAGTAAATATAGTGAATACAGGGCCCGGGAAGAGCGGATATAGTGAATGCAGGGTCCAAGGGGAGCGGATATAGTGAATGCAGAGTCCGAGGAGAGCAGATATAGTGAATGCAGGGTCCGGTGAGAGCGGATATAGTGAATGCGGGTCCGGGGAGAGCGGATATAGTGAATGCAGGGTCCGGGGAGAGCGGATATAGTGAATGCAGGGTCCGGGGAGAGCGGATATAGTGAATGCAAGGTCCAGGGAGAACGGATATAGTGAATGCAGGGTCCAGGGAGAACGGATATAGTGAATGCAGGGTCCGGGGAGAGCGGATATAGTGAATGCAGCGTCTGGGGAGAGCGGATATAGTGAATGCGGGGTCCGGGGAGAGCAGATATAGTGAATGCAGGGTCCAGGGAGAACGGATATAGTGAATGCAGGGTCCAGGGAGAGCAGATATACTGAATGCAGGGTCCGGGGTGACCGGATATAGTGAATGCAGCGTCTGGGGAGAGCGGATATAGTGAATGCAGGGTCCGGGGTGACCGGATATATTGAATGCGGGGTCCGGGGAGAGCGGATATGGTGAATGCAGCATCCGGGGAGAGCAGATATACTGAATGCAGGGTCTGGGGTGACCGGATATAGTGAATGCAGGATCCTGGGTTTAAGAACACTAAGTATAAAACCCTTTTTCAGTACCTACAGCATACCCACTACTTACCTGCTACTGTATTGTACACATTCAGAGTCCTGTATGCAGAGATGGGCTGTTTTAGGGAAGCGTGTTCCACCTCTACACCAAGCATGGCGCCGTCATCTTTATCTGCACTCGGGGTGATAGTAATGGAGCAGAGATACTCGTACATTCCTATACAGGATTTTGTCATCTCAACAAGTAACAATGTATGGTGATCTCTTTCCAGAAGAGGCAGAACAATAGAATTATTGGATTCTGTCCGTTCTGTAGGTTCCCAGGAGGCAATAAGCTGTTTTTTTGTGGCATTACGTCTTTTCAGAAATACATTTATCTGGATTTCCTTTTGTCTGAAATGTGTTATCTGCCAAGTTAGAGTTGTTTTCTTCATATGAGTAATACGACGATCCCCTGAGATCTTAGATATGGTAAGAACATCTATAAAACAATGAGAAGAAGTCAAATACATTTCTAGTTCATCTTACTCTATATGCCTTATGAATGTATTAAAGGGCATCTTGATGGATAATTTGCTCATCATTTCCCTTATAGCACAAATGTCAACCAAGAGATACAAAGATGTGTACAACACACATGAGAAACTCTGTACATTTCAGCGCTCAGAGGTCTACCGAAGATGACCACAAATGATGTATGATATACAATGGACCATGAACTTCACCGGGAATGTGTGTAGTAGATGCTGCTCTCCTCAACCGGGGAAGACAACAAAAAGGAAAAATCAGGAGGACACAAATGCCTAGTGCATTATCAGCGATTTATTGTTCACAAAGCATAGATGCCAAATGGATACTCATGGAAGTGGAAAGTTAAATCGCTAAAGAAAATACAAGATGCCACAGCAAGTGGAACCACATTTTTCCATGAACCCCAGTTGGACTGTTAACCATTTCCATACTGGGTACTTTTACCCCCTTCCTGCCCAGGCCATTTTTCAGGTTTCAGCACTCTCACACTTTGAATGACAGTTGCGCGGTCATACAACATTGTACCAAAACTAAAATGTTATCATTTTCTTCACACAACTAGAGCTTTCTTTTGGTGGTATTTAATCATCTCTGGGGTTTTTATTTTTTGCTAAATTAACAAAAAAGACCGAAAATGTTTTTTAAAAAAAAAACCCACGTTTTTCTTTGTTTCTGCTATAAAAGTTTACAAATAAATAATTGTTCTCCATAAATTTAGGCCGAGATGTATTCTGCTACATGTCTTTGGTGAAAATAACCCAAATTAGGATGTATTATTTAGTTTGTAGGAAAGTTATAGAGTTCACAAACTATGGTATAGATCTGAAAATTGATCAATCCTGAAGTACTGACAGCCAATCTAATTTCTTGAGGTCCAAGAATGCCAGAATAGTACAGATATCCCCCAAATGTCAGAACAGTACAGATATCCCCCAAATGTCAGGACAGGACAGATATCCCCCAAATGTCAGGACAGGACAGATATCCCCCAAATGTCAGGACAGGACAGATATCCCCCAAATGTCAGGACAGGACAGATATCCCCCAAATGTCAGGACAGGACAGATATCCCCCAAATGTCAGGACAGGACAGATATCCCCCAAATGTCAGGACAGTACAGATATCCCCCAAATGTCAGGACGGTACAGATATCTCCCAAATGTCAGGACAGTACAGATATCCCCCAAATGACCCCTTTTTGCAGAGTAGACAGTTCAACGTATTTCAAAACAAGCATGGCAAGATTTTTGAAGTTGTATTTTTGTCATAATTTTTCAGAAAATGAAAAAGTTAAAAAAATTATTTTCACTATTTTCTTTTTTTACATACTGTCACCAGTGCAGTACAGCGTCATCATATAACTGGCATGGCGGTGATCAGGGACACTAACTGCTGACAGTATGAAAAAAATATATATAATTTTTTTTTTTTTAATTATTTTTAATTTTTTCTTCTTTTTTAAGATTTTTTTTTCATATTTCACTATGACCAAAGTAGTACAACGTTACCATAGTAACATTGTACTACTTTGGAGAAGTAATCAGTATTTTTTTTTCTTTGTGTTACACAATTTGTTTATAGCAAAGAATTACTTTGCTATAAGCAAGCATTTACCTGAATGACCGATTCATTCAGGGATTTTTTTATTTTTTTTTTTGTGCTTAGCTGTGATTTGGCCACGGCTAATCACATGACACAGCTGGGCTGTGATTGGCCCAGCTTGTGCATGTGATTACTGTGACCATTCACAGCTAGGCACACTAGTATACAATGGATGGCATGAATGAAGCCATCCATTGTATACAACTGTCATATGACCTGCTGTGATTGGTCACAGCAGGTCACATGGTACCGGCAACAGGGCTGGTACTCAGATCTGTCATCGGCTGTGTCCGAGGTACACGGCCGGTGACAGATCGAGTCACTGAGTGGCTCTGCAGGCGCGCAAACCGCCATTCCTGGAAGGACGCCATATGGCGTCCACCCGGGACGCTGATGGATTTTGCCGGCAGCAAATCAGCCATTGGCCGGGCGGCAAGAGGTTAAGTTGACGTGTTTCGGAGGCTTACTCTTCCTCAGAGCTATGCTAGCCAACATCATGTTGGTTACACGTCAGCTTGACAGTCCAGCTGAATTGCATGGATACATGTGATTCCCCTTGCTGTGCATCTTGTGTGTTATATGCAATTTTACTTTCTACTTTTGTGAGTATCCATTTGGCATCTGTGTTTTTTGAATAAATTATTGGTAATGCACTAGGCATTGGACCCTCCTGATTATTATTTTTGTAGTTTTCACAAGAGAAAAAAAGTGAGACTTATTGAAGGTGCTCCCTTTCAAGGAGTAACAAAAGCACGCATATATACTGCTAAATACATACACTATATTGCCAAAAGTATTGGCCCCACCCTCCCAATCATTGGATTCAGGTGTTCCAATCCCCTCCCAATCATTGGATTCAGGTGTTCCAATCCCCTCCATGGATACAGGTGTATACAATCATCCCCCCTAGGCATGCAGACGGCTTCTACAAACATTGGTGAAAGAATGGGTCGCTCTCAGGAGCTCAGTCACTCCAAGCGTGGTCCCGTGATAGGTGGCCACCTGGGGCAATAAGTCCATCCGTGACATTTCCTGGCTACTAAATATTCCACGCTCAACTGTTAGTGGGATTATAACAGAGTGGAAGCGACTGGGAACAACAGCCACTCAGCCACCAAGTGGAAGGCCACGTCACATGACAGGGCGGGGTCAGCGCATGCTGAAGTGCACAGTGCGCAGAAGTCGCCAACTGTCTGCAGAGCCAATAGCTAAAGACCTCCAAACTTGGTGTGGCCTTCAGATGAGCCCAACAACAGTGCATAGAGAGCTTCATGGAATGGGTTTCCATGGCCGAGCAGCTGCATCCAAGCCTTCCATCACCAAGTGCAATAGATTGTGATATGGCAGAAAATGATTCATGCATTCATGTAAGGTCACTGGCAGGTCCACTGTAATGTGAAAAGAGTGATTATGTGAGTATTATTACAACCAGAGCTTTTTTCACAAAGCATGGAACTCCCCCCTTCCAAACCCCCCCATGTCTCCGCCCCCTACTCACCTCCAAGCACTGTTCCTTGGTTCCACACCCTACCCACCTCCCAGTGTTGCCCCTTTAAGAGAATACAGAACCAAGAATCATTTTGAGGTGCTAAATAAATTTGTATGCAAAAAACAAGAAAAGCAGTAAGATAGATTCCCTGTAGATAGCAACAACAGACCCCCCCCAGCAACAATGGACCTCCAAGTGACAATAGATTCATCCAAGCAACAATAGACTCCCTACAGTCAGCATCAATGGAACCTTCAGCAGACAGCAACAATAGACCCTCCCTCAACAGTAAATCCCTCCCAGCAAGGATCAACCCCCCAGCAACATAAGACCCATCCAAAGCAACAATAGACCCCTCCCTCAACAGTAAATCCCTCCCAGCAAGGATTGACCCCCCCAGCAACATAAGACCCATCCAAAGCAACAATAGACCCCTCCCTCAACAGTAAATCCCTCCCAGCAAGGATTGACCTCCCCCCCCCAGCAATAGATCCATCCCATGCAACAACAGTTCTCCCACCAGCAACAATAGACCCCCACCACAAAAATATGTCCCCTCCAGTAACAATAGATCCCCCAGCACCAAGTATCAATTGACCGTCCAGCACACCCCAGCACCCCTTAGCATAGATACATTCAGTGCTGGAGGTGCCAGAACTGCATTCCTCCTGATTTTGTCTGCACTAAAGTTGCTCATAATTTATATACAGTATATAGTTTATGGATAGAGAAGACATGACTCAAATGACACAGGGGTGTACCTACAGGGGTTGCAGGGGTCACAATTGCGACCTGGTCTCATGCGGCAGGGGGCTCTTACATCCCCGCTGTACACCTGGATAAGAGAAGTGGCAGGAGCCAGGAGGACTGTGCCCTCAATCTCCTTTCTTGGTCTAGGTGGAACATCAGGGGTCTGTGTCACCAAAGCCCCCCAATGGGGCTCCTAAAAAAAATTATTATAAATAATTTTTAAAAAATGGAATGACAAAAATAAACAAATTAAAACAATGGTAATAAATAAATAGGCAAATAAAAAAAACAAAAACTAAAAAAAACCTACTGACAGCAGTGGAAGAACTACCAGGGTCACAAAGGTCGCACTTGCGACCAGGCCTTGGCGTACCGCCACCGGGCTTGGTGGGAAGGGCCCCGGCTGAGGGTCAGGGTTCAAGGTTGCTTGGGCCCTGAAACTTCTAGTTATGCCACTAAGATGATATGACTTTGGCAACATGACAATCAAGCACAACTGCATTGAATATTGAGGGATTTCCTTTAGATATTTAGATATATATTGTTCATAGTTTAAATTTTCATTCACAAACTGCTTTTTCTTAGCACTAATCACTGTATTGGTGTCACTGGGGATGTCAGTGGTGTTTAGTCAGTGTGAGTTAGTGTCAGAATGCCCGCCACAGTCACAGAAAGATCTATTTGTGGGGGAAAAGGACATAAATTTCATTTGGGTGCAGAGTTGCATGACCGCGCAATTATCAGTTAAAGTAACGCAGCGCTGTATCGCAAAAGATGGCCTGATCAGGAAGGGGGCGGAAATCCTCTGGAGGGCGAGGGGGGTTAATAGTACTCACAGCTCAATCAAGATAAGGCATTGCTGAGAGCAGTATGACCAAATAACACCACATTAGAATCCCCCCCCCGAAAATAAAGGGGTAGGAAGGGTCCCCCCCGGGAATCACCGCAGGTAAGCACTGGCACCGCCTAGAAACCAGCAAAGAGGAGAGAGACAGAAGGTGTGGCTTGTCTATGTCTATTATATATATAAACCACAAACTAATGTATTGATCCCACCGGATTGGATGACAGAAAATGCGAAACACCCCAATTAGAGGGGAAAAGATGAAATATTGTACAGTCCTCAGCTGGGTAAGTCTTCCTCACCATACGGCCCCCACAGAAATCTATAAAGAGGTGCAACTCAATAAAATAAATAAATAATCCCATTTCCTCACAAATCGCACACTTATATAGGGGGGGGAGTTTGTGGCTGAATTCTGTAATAAGGATGTCGGCAAACATATCGGAAACCTCCCACAATTTCTGCAATAGTTTATATATGATATATACAGAAGATGGTAAATGTTTTGTTTCCTTAGGATGGCTGGATCCCCATTAATCTAATAAATCTCTCCCTATTGATACCCTTACACTCCAAATTGTTTGTATAAACTGTCAGACACTTACCTCTTCTCAAAATCTCTCCAGTAATATATCCAATATATAAGCAACATTGATGAAACAAAAATGATGAATAGATGAGAAAATATCACAGGTATCGTTCCTACAAAAGAAAATCAGAAGAGATGTAATATTAGTCACTCCCCAACATACTGACTATAATAAACCTATTGCTGCAATCACACAGCATTTATTTTACTGCAAGACGACGTTCACACGGAGGAGTTTTTGAAGCATCTTTTGCGTTAAAAAAGTGCCTGAAAGACCTCAAGAAAAATGCTTCTCTATGTGTGTGTGTGTGTGTACAGTTATGTTAAAAATAATAGCCGTCAGACATCACTAACCGGATCAATCGCTGTTTTTGGTGGAAATGATATTTCTACATGGCAAATAATTTCCTAGCAGGTGTAGTAGTCATAGAAATCCAACAGACCCAACAGTCATGACATGCATGCTGCTGATTCTGTGTCATTGAATCACTCATTGAGGGGCGTGTTCAAAATAATAGCCGTGTGGAGTTCTATTAGTGACGTCATTCATTCTTTGAAAAACAGGTGGCAATTATTGCCCTTATTTAAGGAAGGAAGGCAGCAAATGTTGGACATGCTGGTTTACAGTGCATTTCTCTGAAATTCTGAGGAAAATGGGTCGTTCCAGACATTGTTCAGGAGAACAGCGTACCTTGATTAAAAAGTTGGTTGGAGAGGAACACATAAAGAAGTGCAGAAAATGATCGGCTGCTCAGCTAAAATGATCGCAAATGCTTTAAAATGGCAACCAAAACCTGAAAGACGCGGAAGAAAGCAAAAAACTACCATTGGAATGGATAGAAGAATAGCCAAAATGGGGGGGACTCAGCCAACAATCAGCTCCAGGAAGATGAAAGAAGGTGTGACGTTCCCTGTGAGGACTCAGCCAACAATCAGCTCCAGGAAGATGAAAGAAGGTGTGACGTTCCCTGTGAGGACTGTTACAATTAGAAGACGCCTATGTGAAGCCAAGCTATCTGCAAGAACTCCCCGCAAAGTCCCACTGTTGGGAAAAAGACATGTACTGAAGAGGTTACAATCTGCCAAAGAGCACATTGACCGGCCTAAAGAGAAATGGCGCAACATTTTGTGGGCTGATGAAAGTAAGATTGTTCTTTTTGGGTCTAGTGGGGGGAGACAGTTTGTCAGACGACCCCCCAAACCACTGAATTCAAGCCACAGTACACTTGTGAAGACCGTGAAAGCATGGTGGTGGAAGCATCATACTTACGGTAAATCCAGGGCCTCAGTTTGGATCCGCTTACCAGGGATCAACATGGATCCTCTTGAGATACATCAGAATACCCCCTGTGCAGAGGTGGGGGCTACCCTTATGCGTGAAGAGGAACTCCCCCCCCCTTGAAATAGGGGTGTTCCATTCACAAGACAACTCCCCAATCATTTTAATCCAGTAAAGGTGTGCAACATCTGGGGGGTTCCAGACCCACAGATTTCCTCATGTATGTGTTGGTGGTACCAGGCACCAATCCCCGGGTGTTGTCAGGTCAACAATAGAAAACTTGGGGGTGGTGGACCCATCATAAACACCTGCCGTCCCCCTGAGGTAAAAACCACAAATCACCCCCCAAAACCCCCCCCCCACACACACCCACCAAACACCCCCCAAACCCACCCCCCCCCACAACACCCACACCCACCCAACCATACACACAGGGACTGGGGAAGTGTGGTCCAGGATACATGGGCTGGAATTCCCTGATCACAAGGGCCCAGAAGTGGGGTGACACATCCATGCAACACAGATGTACCCCCAGCAGTTCTCAGAAACAGTGCGGACTAACAACCAAATATTCATGAATTCATTCAGAAGGATAAAGCAAAATCTTCAGAACATTTCTCAAGTCTCCAATAGGGAATGTTTGAGGTTGATAAGATAGATATACAAACACTGCCCATTTTTTTGAACCGTCTAATAATTCCACTTTTCTTGCCCACATTTTTTAGAGAACAACACAAATTTGGAATGTATTTTTCTTCATGTGTTTGATTTGGAATAGAATGTGTCCGTGGTTCCCAATGCATTTGTGTGGATGGAAATAAAAGGATTTTCAGCTTTATTCACTTTCTTCAACTCCCAGCTTAGCTATTATTTTGAACACACCCCTAGTTAGATGTATGTGTTCTGTGTCTCTGTTTGCTCAACTTTGACAATGTTTTTCACCGTGTGCGTTGTGGCTTACCGCTGCGGTGTAAATAAACTCCATGCACACACTCACACTCGCGCATCTTTGGGGCATACTTTTGGTTTCAGTTAATAAAAAAGCTACCCAGTCAAAACTCCTCTTTCCCATTGAAATCAATGGAAAATGCCTCCAGTTGTGTACCTTTTGGTGCAGTTATTTAACCAGTGTCCATGCCCACCCTATGAAGAGAAAATACAAGCTACAGGGCAGCGGACTTGAGTGCAAGCAAAATCACATATATATATATATATATATATATATATATATATATATATATATAACTATGTGATTTTGCAGTTCCGGGATTGTGGCCTCGGCTGGTCAATCATCAGGGCCTAGTCAGTGATTTCTCGCCAGCATCTGACCTGATCGCCAATGGAGGGAGAGACCTGCATATAAACAGCACATATCTCTCCCCTGTCAGCTCCTGCACACTGCTTTGTATGGCTCCCTGCGTAGCAGTGTGCTTACAGTGAAAAACAGCACACAGTAACAACACACATAGCACACAGTTAACCCTTTGATGGTCCCAGAGGTTAACCCCTTCCTGCCCAGTGTCATTAGTAGAGTGTCAGTGCTTTTTATTCACACTGATCACTGTATTGGTGTCATTGGGATGTCAGTGACACCAAGTCAGTTCACCCCCAGTGTCAGAATGACCACAGCAATCCCGAAATATAGGTCACTGTGATCACCGTCATTAATAGTAAAATAGAGGAATAAAAGATCCACAGTATATAGAACGCCATTTGTAAACGCTATAACTTTCATGTAAACCAATTAATTTACACGTGTTGGGATTTTGTTTTTAGCAAAAGACACAGAGCGGTAATACTTTTTGGCCTAAATTTATGATAAAATTTGATTATTTTTTTTTGCTGTATCTATGTTTAATTGCAAAAAAGTCAAAAACATTGCTTTTTTTTCTCAAAAAAAAAAAACACACAGGCGATCAAATACTATCAAAAGAAAGCTCTATTTGTGGGAACAAAAAGGACATAAACATTTTAACTTGGGGTGCAGCGTTGCATGACCGTGCAATTGTCAGTTAAAGAATTGCAGCGCTGCATCGCAATAAATGGCCTGGTCAGGAAGGGGGTGGGGGGGGGGGGGGAATCCTCAGAAGGGCAAGTGGTTAAGGTGTCCGTTTTATGAACCATGCCAAGCAGTTAATAGATCGCTGCTCAGTTCTCCGGGCATTCTTGGAGGAACACAGTTTTCCTGTGAATGCCGTTTATGAAGCATAATGTAGATCAGTTCTCCAAATGAAGGGAGAGTGGTCTACAAATGGTGGAAAACGGCTGATTTTACTATTAATCTCGTGTGATTACTGATAGAGATGAAGCGACAATTATTCAAAAATTCGAATATTCGGCTTGATTCGGCGCCGGAATAAATTCGATTCGAGGCGAAATATATTCCTGGCGAATTTTAACTTATAAAAAGGTGTTTCTAGGCTTCAGAGAGCCTTTATATTAGTGCAGAACACTGTACCTTTAATTTAAATGCCCTTGGAGTCTGCTGGGAAGAGAAAAATAATACTGTCAGTCAGTTTATGACATGCCAATGAGTGCCCGTCGATCTTAGAATCACCAGCACACTTCACTCATCATTTTGGGCAGTCACGGGGCCCAAAACCAGAGTGTGGAGCCACAGTGTGGCGGGGTGGAGGCAGCAGCAATGGGAGGCCATAACAGCACCCTATGACAAAATGGAACCCACCAGCAGTGTGAGGAGACCTGAAAGTGGCATATTGGCAGAGTGTGGCGATGGAGACAGCAGCAATGGGAGGGGCCGTACAGGGACCCATGACACACTCTGGACCTGGCAGCAGCATGAGGAGGCGGTACAGTGGGGCCCATGACAGATTACGGGCCTGGCAGAGCAGCATGAGGAAGTCGGGTACGGGGGCCCATGCAGATTACGGGCCTGGCAGCAGCCCCTTCCGAGGCCATACAGCAATCTATGACAAAATGGAACCCTCCAGCAGTGTGAGAGACCTGAAAGTGGCACATGGCAGAGTGGTGGCGATGGTAAGACAGCAGCAAATGAGGAGGCCGTACAGGGACCCATAGACACACTCTGGACCTGGACAGCAGCATGAGGGAGGCGGTCAGCATGAGGAACGGGGGCCCATGGCAGAGTAACGGGCCTGCAGCAGCATGAGAGGCGGTACAATGGCCCATGGCAGCAGTAGTGGCGGAGCGTAAGCAGCTAAAATTGAAGGCCATACAGAGGCCTAGGTTAAAAAAAGTCCCCCAGCAGCAGCGTGGGGAGCGGGACTAGACGACGACTATCAAGAGTCCAATGCAGGGTGTGGGCCGGAGCAAGAAGCTTCAATTGAAGGCCATACACAGGGCCTTAGGTTATTAAAAGTCCCTCACAGTTAATCCAATAACGAACTCCTACTCCTCAGTGCAATCTACTTACCGAGAACCCAGGGCAGGTCTGGGTCAATGCAATTTGTGGTAGAGACTGGTTTTGTTCAGCCATGCTTCGAGCGAGTAATAACAGGTCTGTGCTGCCCTTCTGGTGTCTGCTTTAACTCCCCCCCCAACCGTATGAACGTGGCCCAGCTTTTGTCAACGATTTTTGCCGTTAAAGTGATGCAAACCCGCGTGAACCACGTTCATGAGGAGCCAGTACAGGACTGGCCATGAATCAAGTAAGACCTGGCAGCAGCGTGAGAGCAGACAACAGATGCACATGGCGCAGGGTGGCGGTGTAGGCAGCAGTAAATTCTGAAGCCATACACAGGCCTAGGTTAAAAAGCGAAGCCGCAGCAGCGTGATCAACGACAGAGAACACCATGCGCAGGGTGGCGGTGATGCAGCCAGTATTATCGAAGCCAAACACCAGCCTCGGTTAGAAAGCGGAAGCCGTCAGCACGTGAGCAACGACAGATGCACATGGCGCAGGGTGGCGGTGGAGGCAGCAGCAATGGAAGGCATACAGCACCCTATCAACAAAATGAACCCACCAACAGTGTAAGGAGACCTGAAAGATGGCACATGGCAGAGTACTGGCGATGAAGTCAGCAGCAATGGGAGGCCGAAAC